AAAGGCGCTTTAGGCCGGACTTGGTTCCCTTGATTGAAACCGAAGTTAACAAACTCGTCGAAGATGGATTTGTTCGTGAAGTTAAATACCTAACATGGGTTTCAAGTATTGTCCCTGTAAGGAAGAAAAATAGCCAAATTCGACTATGCATTGACTTTAGGGATCTCAACAATGTGTGTCCGAAAGATAAATTCCCGCTTCCTATTCCAGAGCTGATGATCGATGCTACTACCAGGAACGAGGCAATGTCATTTATAGACGATTCACCGGGCTATAACCAAATTCGCATGGCGCCAAAAGATGAAGAGCTTACTGCATTCCGTACCCCCCAAGGGTATTTATTGCTACAAGGTTATGCCTTTTGGCTTGAAGAACGCCGGTGCTACTTACCAAAGGGCTATGCAGAATATTGTTTATGATCTTCTCCACAAGAATGTCGAATGCTCTGTTGATGACTTGGAGGTAAAATCAAGAGAGAAAAGGACCACTTGAAAGTTTTGAGAATGGTGTTTGAGTTGCTCCGGAGGTACCAACTTAGGATGAATCCATTGAAATGTGCCTTTGGAGTTACTTTTGGAAAGTTCGATATACAAGCGTTAGTGGACTTCTTGGCAGATCACCCTATACCTGATGATTGGGAGCTAACTGACGAACTACCTGATGAGGATGCAATGGTCAACCTCCATGGAAGATGTACTTTGATGGGGCTGCACATCGTGGAGGAGCTGGTGTTGGTGTATTATTTGTCACTTCTCAAGGTAAAGTTCTGCCCTACTATTTTACGTTAATGCAACTCTGCCCTAACAATGTTGTTGAGTATCAAGCACTAATATTTGGGCTTGAAATGGTTGTCGAAATGATACAGTTGTAATTATAAGTCTTTGGTGAATCTCAGTTGGTGATCAACCAGATTTTAGAAAGTTATGAGGTCAAGAAACCTAACCTACGCCCATATCATGATTATGCTAAAAAATTAATAGGGTGGGCCGGTGATGTGACTATTCAACATGTGCCAAGGAAAGAAAATAAGAAGGCTGATGCTTTAGCCGCCCTAGCTTCATCATTAACCCTGCCCGGTCAAGCGCAAGTTACTGTCTGCCAAAAAAGGTAGTACACCACCAAATAAGGCTGACGACCCCCATTATCGACTACTTAAGCTATGGGATACTTCCAGAAAATCCAAGCAGAAGGACTAAAATCCGTCGTCGTGCACCTTGCATCCTTTACTACAAAGATACTCTTTATAGAAGGTCATTCGAGGGAGTACCCCTGCGATGCTTAGGGGAAGAAGAGGCACTCTAAGCTATGCAAGAGGAACATTCTGGGGTATGTGGGTTACACCAGTCTGGACCAAAGCTCCACCTTCATATAAAAAAGATGGGATATCATTGGCCTTAAAAGATTGCTTGGACTACGCTCAAAGATGCAAAGCTTGCCAATTCCATGCAAATTTTATTCATCAGCCTCCTGAAGTGTTTCACCCGACGGTAGCATCCTGGCCATTTGACACCTGGGGATTGGATGTTGTTGGACCACTGCCAAAGTCCTCTTGTGGGCACTTATACATCTTGTCTGCGACTGACTACTTCTCAAAATGGGTTGAAGTTGTTGCTCTTAAATAAGTAAAGAAGGAAAATGTTGCAAGTTTTATCAGAGCAAACATTATCTATCTCTTTGGCATTCCTCGTTAAATAATAACGGATAATGGCAAGCCATTTGACAATAGGTTGATGAACAAGATTTGTGAACTTTTTGGATTCAAGCAACGTAACTCTTCTATGTACAATGCTGCCGCCAATGGTCTAGCCGAGGCATTCACCAAGACTGTATGCAACTTGTTAAAAGAAGTCGTCTCCAAATCCAAATGAGATTGACATGACCATATGGAAGAAGCTCTATGGGCATATAGGACAACTCACCGCACATCAACACAAGCAACCCCTTATGAACTCGTTTATGGAGTTGAAGTCGCCTTGCTACTCGAGCGTCAAATACCTTCACTATGATTATCTATTCAAGAAGGTATCACTGATGAAGAAAATGCTCGACTTTGACTAGCACAATTGGAGGCTCTTGATGAGAAGAGGTTGGAAGCTCAACAGAGTTTTGAATGTTATTAGGCTCGATTGTCTCGCGCCTTCAATAAAAGAGTTCGCCCAAGATCCTTTCAAGTAGGAGATCAAGTCCTTGTCATACGAAGCCCCATTATTACTTTCCATAAACCTGTAGGGAAGTTCACTTCAAAATGGGATGGGCCATATGTCGTGCAAGAAGCTTATTCAATTGGGGCTTATAAGCTGGTTGATGCAGATGACATGGGAATCGACCCTATCAGTAGCAAGTTTTTGAAGAAGTATTATCTTTGAAGTTGCAATGCTCTTTGACGCATGAGCCTAAACTGCACGTTGCTATACTCCTGGCCCGTAAGAGTATAAACTGTGTACGGCCCACACACAAAAAAGTCCGCTAGGTTGAAAAACCTCGAAAGAGGTAGCCTAGGCAAAGATTAGGACATAAAAATAATAATAAAAAGAAAACTCACCCATTCTGAACTACGGTATGACTTGATCCTCTTCACCGAGGTATGTAGGCAGCTTAGAGTTTCATGCTGAGTTCAGTCACATAAGTTTAAAACATACATATTGCCCCAATAGTTGTCTGAGTGAAGTATGAAGGAATGTAAAATCAAGCTGAAACACCATCCTCCTTTTGAACTTAGGATCTCATTTGATTTAAAGTGAGCAACCCTCTATGGTAAATTGGTATCTTCAATGGGATAATTTTAAGAGGCGTCAAAAGGGAACACAAGTATAAGAAGAAAGATTGCTTGGCACAATGTTTCAAATTCAGTGAGACTTAGACCCAAGATATTCATGAGAATGGAGCTCTTGAATTTTGATTAATGGAAAGTAAAAACTTCTTCCGATCTCGAGGCTTCCATACCAAGACGTGAAAACTTTGGCGAAGTCGTGCTAATTTAGAACTGTCGGCATATCAAAAACTAAAGTCAATTTCGAAATATTATCTGAAATTGTCCTTAAGTCAATAAATTTTATATTTTGGATATATTTTAGTTTTTGAATTTTAATTTTCAAAAAATCAAACGATTCATGATTTCGACGTTCCTACATCATGAAACAAAAGTTTTGGTGAAAATCACGCAAATATGAAATCGTCAGCGTGTTAAAATTTTACGTTGACTTTGAAATATTATCTGAAACTATCCTTAATATTTTAAATTTTGTATTTTGGGTGGTTTAGATTTTGAAGTTTGGTTTCCGAAAAATTAAACGGTTCATGATTTCGACGTTCTTACACCAAGATATGAATTTTTTTGGTGAGATTGTGTGAATATGAAACTGTCAACGAACCGGAGTCTAAAGTTGATTTCAAAATATTATATAGGACGATTCTGAAGTTGTTTGATTGAAACTTTTGCATATATTCTAGATTTTGAGGTCTAGTTTTCAAAAAATTAAACGGTTCGTAATTTTGCCATTTCTACACTAAAATATAAATTTTTTGGTGAGACTGCACAAATCTGGAATTGACAACATGGTACAATATAAAGTTGATTTCAAAATATTATCTGGGATGATTATGAAGCTGTTTGATTAAGAATTTTTGATATGTTCTTGATTTTGAAGTCTACTTTTCAAAAAATTAAACGATTCATAATTTCAACGTTTCTATGCCAAGATATGAATTTTTTGGTGAGACTGCGCAAATCTGGAGTTGACAGCGTGGTGCAATATAAAGTTTGTTTCAAAATATTGTGTGGGACGATTCTAAAGGTGCTTGATTGCTGATATCGAATATGTGATAGATTTTAAAGTATAGTTTCTACGAAATCAAATGACTCATATTTTTGACGTTCTCACATTGAGATATATACTTCCTACTGCAAATTTACAAAGGTGATGAACAATATTATCTTTAAAGAAAAATGAGGATGTATATTCAAATACAGAGAACTTCGAGACATGAACCATAGCGATATTTAACAAAAATCCAAGTTCTATTTTGTGGATGTTAATACATCATGTAAACAAGCAAATATTGATATTGAACCGCAAGGAAAAAGAGGGGGGCATCAATAAAAACACGCAATATAAAGTAAAACATATGGAGTTTTCATTTCCATGAATAGTCGCTAGTTAACCAAATGCAAAAAAAAAAAGCAAATAAAATACTCTATATAGGTTAATCTAAATACAACTTATAATTGACCAAGTCTTTAAGGATGACCTCTAAGTGTTTTTTCTTCGTCTCCACATCAGCCAAATCATCAGAAGTCACCAAGGAAACGTCAGAACAACTACGGTACTCCTCTTCAGCAGATGAGACTCTTGATTCAATCTCTTCAACCTCTTTCTTGGTAGCACTCGGATAGCTCTTAATTGTTTCACCTTCTCCTTGGCCTCTTTGAGAGATTGACTGGTGAGAGACAGTTCCTCAACCTTCTCCCCTTTTTCAGTCAAGACAAGATCAAGATGTTCCTTGGCTTTTAAAAATGCCTCTGATTTTTCAACGTCCACAACCATATCAGAAAGAGCTGATTGTGCCTGGTCATATGAAGTGGAAAGCTTAAAGAAAGACATCAATAGGTTTTTTAGAGGAGAAATATCCACACCCTTTCCATCCATCTCCTCGAGAATCACTTGGATCTCGAATTGAACAGAAGAAGCATTGTCTGCAGTAAGGTCAGAGAGTTTGGTGTGAATTTTAGCCCAGGCATTCAAGATGAAATCCTTGCGAATAGTCAAGACAACCTTTCTTCCGTCAAAGACAGACATCATTGGTGCTAATCGTTGGTGAAAATTAGGCCCCAATTTTGCTCCAAGATTAGTAATAGAAGTCACCTCTAGGTCCGACTTAGATATTAGAAGTGATTTCCTCGAGTCCAAATTCGCCACAGATTCACTACTACCCTCTGATTTGCTTTGGTGTGACGCTATAAAAATATAATCACCGTTTGGCTGCATATAAAAAAGATAGATGGTTAGTAAAGTTACCTATATATTATAAGACCATATGAAAGTTTTAAGCATTACCTCTTTAATGACCATCAAAGTCCTTGAAGCACTGCCAATACTGTCAGTAATTTCTACTACACCCAAATCAGTGTCTTCTTATTTGTTTGAATATGGCTTCACCCGTTTGAAGTTTTGATCGTCATGACTACTATCACTCTCATTTTTGGATGGGCATTTGTTGGAGGTAGGGATAGTGGTGCCTAATAGAAAGGAACCCTCGTGGACTTGATGAGCCTGAGAAGGTCCCTTCTTTTTTTAGCTTCCCTTGATGTCGAGTGGTGCAACCACTTTAGATTTCAAAGTATGAGGTTTTTCCTCCTTGTTATGCTCTTGAGGCGTGATCTCTAAAGGCGTAGCAGTGATTGGCCCAACAAAAGTCACCAAAGATTCTAAATGATCTTCACGTAAGCTGTCATGTACTCTTGTCCACCAGGATCTGTACTGTGACGCAAATAGCTTTTTTTGTCGTAGATATAGCGGGGGGAAAGGTCACCCTCGCGTTGGTGGAATTATGTGACACACAAATTTGCCAAAAGCTGAGTCCTTATTCTACTGAGGCGCTACAAAGGTCATTTCCAAAAAACTAGGGCTGGTATGATAAAATCCAAATTGACGGCTGAATCTATGTGGACTATATAGTTCAAGAATGAAAGAGTTCCTGCACCTCATAGGAAGATAATTAAAATAGATTCTCATAAAATAATTGACTTTCAGTTCCGATGCTTTATCATTATCCTCAAAATAGTAGGGTTCAGATGCCTCTAGCATGGTAGAAGTCCAAGATGCATTATCCGCTTGATGGATGCGTTTTCTTGGATTTGTATCATCCAAATACATTGCAGCGTCTTCCCCAGTATACGCCACCATCAATAGAACATATTGTTCTTTTGGAAGTCCATAGTATGTCCTGAAGTAGTGAGCAAATCAACCGTATACATAATGAATGGGAAAAGAGATTTGATATTCTCGAGATGCGAGGACTTGGAGATCTTGTTCAAACCATAGTAGATGATCGCTATAACTGGGATTGAAAGGCTGAATTTCCATCCATATGCCATCATGCTCGCCGTTTTAAAGGTCTCGGGTCGAATGAAATTGCCATTTTGAAAGGGAAATACAAACGCACATAACCAACAAGATAAGAATGCTGCCAGATACGTGCCTTCTCTCTTTTCATGTCGAATCCCAAGATTAGCAAACATCATCTCATCTGCGCTAGACTATGAAACTACTTCTGGTATAACTCCAGTGGGGTTGTGCGTTGACTTCAAATGGGTAAACTTTTTCTCCCTCTTTTCTGGAGCAGGTTTATATCTCAAATCTCTCTTGCACCAAAATCCAATCCACTTGCTAAATGAGACCTTTGGATCATGACTCTCCCCTTGTTGAAGATGGTTAAAGGCGGTAAACAGGTATCCACAAGATCGAGGAGTAAATCTTTCATTCTTCTCATTAACACCTGTGAGTTCGATAGCTTCGGGTACAACTTCTTCGTAGGGAGAACCTCCAATAGGTAAACCGCCAATTGTATGTAAATCCCAAAGAGATATCAATAGTTCTCTGGCTGATGTTAGTAAAGTATTTGTTGTGGGACACCAAGCTTCAAGAAACACTCGTAAGATATTTGAATTTCGATCATATGTAAATAAAGAAACATAGACGACATCACAAATTCTTGCTGTCTCCAAAGCCCGTTGACTTCTTCCAAGTACGTCCTCAGTCCATTCCCAATATCCCGGGATATGATGATATTCACCATCAATTTTCAAAGTATCTCCCCAACGTATCTCCGTTTGAATCATACGCCGTCCCAGGCAAGGAAGGGTACTCACGATATTGAGTTTTCGTTGGTAAGGAGTCTGAAGGGACCACATTTTGGTTGGCTTTTGGTTGTGCTCTGAAGTCCAATCTACCATGTGGAGGGAATTCTGCAGAGGTGGCCACAAATTTGCATATCGACCAACTAGTGGAGGGTAAGTCAATAGCTTGGTTATAACCCCTCCATTCTTAGCATCAATTATGAGATACTTGCGCTTGGAGGATGGAGATGTGTTGTCTTTGAAGTGAACCATCTCTTCAAAACTGCATAAGCGAGAAAAAAAGGATTAGTAAATATTAAGTCAACGACAATTGACAAAAAGAGGAGAAGATTCTAGTTCTTTGTGCTTTAGGCAAATTTCTATATGCGATTAAGAATTTTTCCTTCTATATGTTGTCTTGGGTTAATCTTCTATATGTTGATATGGATTTATCCGTGTATATAGTGACGTGGATTTGGTCGTCTATATAGTGATATGGATTTCTCTGTCTATATGGTAATGTGAATTTGTCCGTCCATATGGTAATGGAGATTTGTCAGTCTATATGTTGATATGGATTTATCCGTGTATATAGTGACGTGGATTTGGTCGTCTATATAGTGATATGGATTTCTCTGTCTATATGGTAATGTGAATTTGTCCGTCCATATGGTAATGGAGATTTGTCAGTCTATATGTTGATATGGATTTATCAGTCTATATGGTGATGAGGATTTATCTGTGTATATGTTGGTATGTATTTTTCCGTCTATATGGTGATGATGATTTGTCCGTCTATATGGTGATATGGATTTATCCGTCTATATAATAATGTAAATTTGTCCGTCTATATATTGCAAGGAATCTATCTATCATCTATATGTCATCATAAATTTATCCTTTCTTGTTTTGCCTACAAAAACACAAAGGATGAAAAAACGAAAGAAAAAAAATAAGTTACCTCGCCTCTATGCTTCACGTGGCTTGCGAAAAACATGAATTGATGTTCAATAAAGGAAGAGCATGCGATTATTTATAGGTTTCTGAAGGTAGGTACCAAAAATTCGTTGTCGATGTGGGACGCAATAGCTGAACTCCTGAAGAGACTCAATTTGGTAAAGACGGTGCAAAGTTTTCCAAACCTATTTGAAGTTGGACAAAAAGCTATTATCCAAGTAATATCCATTAAAGCAGTTTGATTTCAATAGGATACGTGAGGAATCCAAGTAAAACCAAAAAATCATCATTATGAATTTGAGGCTTACCTTGGCTATTTTCATTCAAACACAAACTGAATCTTGAACAACTGACCAAAGAAGGCTTACACCAAGATTTATTAATGAATAAATCGCGTTTTCACTGAAAGGCTAACATCTTTTAAATCCCCATTCTTCTCAAGTTACATTATAGAACAAGTACACGTGGAGATAGATCAACTGAGCAATTGTAAGAATTCAATCAATTGTCTTTTACATAGTTTTAAAAGCTCGACAACCTCGACAAGCCTTGAAGCAGGGGGTATTTATAGGCATGTAAATTTTATTGGAATTAAATCCGTAAAATAATTTAGACTATATTTTAAATTCAAGTTTTATTAGTTCAAATAAATTTATTGGGCTAATATAGTTAGATAATTATAAGGCTAATATATATGGATTAAATAAAGGTCTTAATCTATTGGGCTACCCATTTAATTTAATTGGAGTACAAGTGATGAACTGACTTTATTAAGTCCAAGATGACATCTTCCTAGAGGCCCAGTTTGGTGCCACGTGTCAAATGACGTGGCACACCAAGTCAAACAGAAGAGCCAATGAGATCATGCCACGTGTCAAAATGGCAAGGCATGCCAAGTCAAATAAAAAGGCCAATGAAATCGCGCCACATGTGCAAGTGACATGTTCTGGTCAATCAAAAGCGGCCTTGTCACACTTCAATTTGATTGGTGGGAAAAAGTTTATTTTTATCATAGCTCTTCCCTCCCACAACTATAAATATGGGTCTTCATAACTCAGAAAAGACACTAGAAGTTATAACAAGAAGCAAGAGAGAGCTTGTGGATCAAACACCGCAAATTTCTCTACAAGTTTCAAGCTTTAAGAAATCAAGTTCAAGCTCAAGAACAAAGAACAAATCAAAATTCAAGGAGTACAAGTCCAAATCAAAGTTCGTGATAGTTGAATTCAAGATCATCGTTCGTGACAATGAATATAGATTTAAGATTAAGCTCAAAGGCCCTTGAATTCACATTGAAAAATAGAATCAGAGGAATTATAGAGATTGTACACTTAATTATTTGAAATAAAATACTATGATTTTTGCAATATTTTTTGTCTTGATTTTATTTTCTTGATGCAATTTAATGTCTATAGAATGGATGACGGTCATGGATTTGTTGATGGTGTTTAAGGGTCATATTTTTCCAAAATTAGTTCATTTGGTAAAGGTGACTTTTTGTGCAAATAAACCTCAAGAAACATTTGTGATGTAAGTGGTCCCATTTCTGTTCAATTTGAGAAAGTATCATGCAAAAACTTAGGACAGAGTTTCAACTCGTGCATCCTATCCCACATACTAGTAATAGTATTTATATATCTGATACACAACATTAAAATTAAGAACTGATTGCTTAGGTTACACAAAAGTTGCAATTTTAACCATTAATTAGCAATAACGTTATGAGGTTAATCTTTGACTATTTGGATTTCTTCTTCCTTTTGATATTTCACAAGTACTATTATGATTTTCTTTCCATGTATAGAAATTTACGTATATCTCTCTCATTATTTCTTTATACTTTCAGGCATTCAATTGGATCGCGGCGAATCATTTACTCATATTGGAAAAACAGAAGACTTCACCTCTCTCTGGTATGTTTCAAAAGCTAATATTCCCTTTTCCCCATATCAAATTAAGTTTTATTTTGCTTTACACACAAAAACCTAATATGTAACTGGAGAAAGGTGGAGGGCAAAGGCTTATTTATAGGGAGGGGTTTGAGTTCATTTTAAACATGTTCCTCTTCATAGATCATATATAATAATGTTAATGTATTTTTTTCAAAATTACTTAATATCTATGTGTTCACCCAAGTTCGAAGAGCCTATGGTACAATAACTATTATGTGCACCTTTATAAATGAAGTTGGGATTTCAAATCCCACAACTATCTTATTATTTTTTATTCCTAGAATTGAGCCCGAATGTTGAAATGTCGCATTTATCATGTTGTTTTTTTCTTTCTTTTTCTAGAATTGGGTCCACCCATGGAGATTGAGCATGTTTTGTGTATCCTCTTGTGTTTTAATTAAATAGTACCTTTTTCTTTCTTTCTTTTGTCTTTTCTTTTAAAATCCCCAAGTTTGACAAATTGAAATTTCTATTCTCCGAGGTACCAAGTTTGACATATTAAAATTCCTATTCTCCTGCTGTCATTATCGTTAAATTATATAATTATATCGAATGTCCTTGTTAAGATTAGTAGTAGCGGACGAGGTAGTATATAGTCATTGGGTTCAACTAATCTTAATATTTTTATAAGGAGTATAGATACATATACGAAAATTACTAAAATTGAAAAAAATTTATAATTATAAATCTATAATTTTCAAAGTGTAGTGGGTTCGTGGTAATTAGAATGTAAAGGTTGAACTCGTCAAATATAAAATCCTGGGTCTACCTTTTTTATAAGGGAAATTTTCGTTCCTATACCATATATGAAACTATATTACCAAATATGTTCATAGTTTACATATTACCCTTCATGCTAATAGTATTTCTACATAATATATACAATGCATTAAATAAGGAATCATTGTAGCTGTAGGATTCCTTATTTAGGCGCGCTAAAAAGGGGAATTTAATATTTTCCAGATCTTTCACAACGCAAATCACGCACAGTAATAACTATCGTCGACTTCATTACAAAATTTTCGTACTCTGTTTTAGAGATAGACTCTGTTTCAACTTTTTCTCTGATTTCACAAATCAAAATCGACAAAATCTTCTACAATTCTTCTGCAACAAAAGCAGTTATGGCGAAAATACCAATTATGCTACAATCGAATGGGATTTGGGATAGTTTTGGTCGATTTAGAGAATTCGAGGTCGATGGCATTGTAGTCGATGACGATGCGAGTTACAGTCTATTGATTTCTACAATAGCGCATCAATTAATGATTGATACATCGGAAAAAATTATAGAAATCAAATACATTATCAACGAGCATTGTCCTCCAATGGAAATTAGGAACGATATGGGTGTTCGTGTATACATAGAGACGAAAAGAGAAAACAAAAACTTAGGATCATATCCTCTATGAATAACTGTTCACGATTTCAATATGGAATTGAGTATCACAAATGAGAACACAGCTGCAGGTGTGTGATGTTATTTTTCTATGAAATTCTGGTAATTTGTAAATGAACTACAAATTATTTACATTTTATCTACAAATAAACTACATATATATATCAGTATGGATTTCTGTAATATCTACAAAATTTCTACATTTATTCTACATTAAAACTACAAAAAAATTGAAAAATTAATATGAAATACTGAATTTCAACCTTTCTACAAATTTTCTACAAACTGGTAATAACAATATTTATATTTATTTTCATGCAGGTTCGTCTGGAATACTAAAGTTACTTGTTATGCCAACATCTTCCGTTATAGAGGAATATGAAAGTATAATAATAACAGATAGTATACCAAGTTCTATTGAAGTAGGACAAGTATACCAAGACAAGGAAACAATTGCAACTGCAATGAAACACTATTCTATCATGCACAAGTTCCAATTCAGGGTTAAAAGATCTAGTGCTAGAAGGTATGAACATATGAATAGTCAAAGATTATTATTTTTCTAATTTTGTAGTTTATTTGTAATTTTTTAGTTCTTCAGTAATCCTTGTGATAATGTTTAACAGAATTGTAGTTGAATTGTAGTTATGTTGTATTTATATTGTATAATGTGATTGTTTAAGCTACAACAGGTTTTTTTTAAATCTAAATTTTAACCCATTGTTTAAAAATGTATTTATTTTGTAGCTACTGGCTGATATGTGTTGGTGAAAACTGTACATGGCACTTCAAGGCAACTAGCATAAATGATTCTGCAATGTTCAAGGTCAGAAATTTCGATAACCAACACACATGCTCTTTAATGGACAATACATTCATACAACGCAAACCTACTGCCATGGTAGTTGGTAGCATGGTTATTCCAAAATATTCTGATCCTAAGACAATTTACACCCCAAAAGACATTCAATTTGACATGTTGTCTGAACACGGCGTGAATCTAACCTACATGCAAGCCTGGAGAGCAAAGAAAAAGGCTTTACAGTTTTTGAGAGGTCATCCTGCTGACTCCTACAACAAATTGCCTAGTTATTTGTATATTCTAGAGAAGACTTATCCGGGGTCTGTAGTTAAATTAAAGAAGACAGACGATGACTGCTTCTTGTATGTAATTGTTGCGATTTGTACGTCAATCAGTGGTTGGGAATATTGTATGCCAGTTGTATTAGTTGATGGGACCTTTTTAAAGTCAGCATACATGAGAATAATGCTAACAACCAGTACAATGGATGCAACAGGTACTAAAGTTTTATTTGAAGAAATATTGTAGCTTGTATGTTTTTTTGTAGTACTTGCAGATTAATTGTAGATATATTGCAGATATATATTGTAGAGTAGTTGTACTTTGTATATATATGTCTTCTTCTGCATTTTTACTGCATCCAATTAATTGCTTCTTGCCACATAATGTAGGTACCATATTACCATTGGCATATGTTGTTGTTGATTCAGAGAATGACACATCATGGAAGTGGTTTTTTGAGCAATTCAAGCTCGCATATGGTGAAAGACCAAATATGTATGTTGTTTCGGATCGGAATGAGAGTATCTTGAAGGAAACATCTATTGTTTATCCCGGCATACCACATTATTCTTGCATGTGACATATTTGGACAAATATACGGGC